TCTGCATTCTATTGGTGCATAAGCTGATTTCTCTTGAATGTTCAGATTCAGAGAATAACTCCAGTATATATAAAGATTTTTAGGTCTTGTAATTCAGCTATGATAGCTGTATCACAGGTGAGAATTCAGAGAAAGGAATCTATACAAATATTTGGTGAAATTCTGGGCCAAACCCAGGAAAAAAGTACAAAACTTGCACTAAATTCATTAAGCCACAACTTCAGAATTCCAGTCTCCCACAGCAAATTGAGGTCTTCCAGGATATTATCAACTATTAAATGCAAGAGTCTGTCCCTGTGCATACATAAAAACATACAAAAGAAATATATATAGTTAAAAAAAAAAATCATCTACTAATAAGTGTATGTATACGTAGATTATAAAACTTTGTTGTTCTGAATAATATTAGATGTGGATAATTCCTATTGATTGATTTGTGCAAGACCATAAATCTTTCTTATCTTCTTTCTCTTATGCTTTTGATAATGCAAAGAAATAAGCAAGTAGCAGCTATTTTGATACTTTTTAATACCCACCTTCATATACAGAGTTAGTTCATCAAGCTGTTTGTTGCAGTCTGGCAATTTTCCTTTCTGCGGATCAACTGTCCCATGGCATCTTTTTCCATTATCCGAGGCAATCATGGCAAAATGAAGCTCTGCATGAGATGAGCCCTCCACACTCCAGTTCCCTCAACAGAGGAACAGTTTTGTGTATCAAAACCAAAAGGGCAACTCTGAGAAGCATGCAGCCCCTGTGCTGGTGCAGGCAGTAAGAGCAGACCCTTCTGCCTAGGAAAAACCTCTGTGACATACAGAGCCTACAGGTTCCATCAGCATTTCTGCCTTTTAATCCTCCTGCCAGTAGCTTCTGGAATCCCCTTCAGGAAGCAGGACATGTAGGTGGCTTTTCAGAGCCTACAAAATAAGGTCAGTTGAAATTTTGATGTTTGGTGTCTGCAGCTACTGGGAATATTCAGGTCACACAGCCTGAATGCTCTGTTCAGTTTAGATGTGGTCATTAACCTCTGCAATTCAGTACTGCCATCTCTCAGTGGTGAGACATGAGCAAGGCTGTCCACCTCCCTGATAATGAATGCTTAATTTTGAGATGTCTTTTATATATTTAGTTATAAAATTTGTTTCATTTACCATCTGGGGATTTTTTTGGTATTTGTATGGTGCCTTTGATCCATGTTGTCAAGATTTTTCTCCACATTCACAGAAATCAGAAATATTGCAGAAAAATGTTGAGAATATGTTAAAATTAACGATCCTAGAAAACTAACTTTAAAGACAAAAATCCTAATCCAAGAGAAGCATGACAGTTTACAGAAATTAAAGTTTTGTATGTGAAGAAAATATGTTTGCATATATTAATGTACATAGTATTATATGCTGAACAAACCTCTTTATACTTACATGTGGTAATCAGTAAATACAGCAATAGTTTCCCACTTTAATTCAACAGTTCCCCAGTCAAAAAGAACAAGAGTAATACTCATGATGAACCTGAATTCTTAAATGTATTGATGGCACAGCACCAATACAGTGCATAGCTCAACTTCAGGAACAGCCAGGGGGTAAAAAAGCTTTTGCATTCTTCCCCTGTGCTGCTGCCTCAGGACAAGTCACTAGTTTAGCTGTAGGAGCCACTTCACAAATGTACAATAAAAATACTCTCTGTGTACACATATATATTTACATGCTCTTGTCTCTTGGTGTTTGTTCTGTTGACTGGCTAATAAAGCATGTAACATTGGAAATAATGTCATGAAACTGCTTTGAAAGTGCCTTAAAAAAAAAAAGCGTCTCCCAAAAAAGTACTGCTAAATAAATTACAATTACACTTGCAAATAGAATGATTACATTTGACTGTACAACTGAGTAACGAATCACACCAGAAAAACGGCTTTTTAAACTTGCAACTACAAGTCTGCCCTCAGGCTGACCCAGGAGTCCTTTCATTTCAGCACAAAGCCATTACTTTCCTATTAAGTGCCATCCACTACAAAACTAAAATCATGTGCAATTACAATTACACGCTCATTTAGATGTGCAACTGCTCATTTTTATACATGCAATATTGAGACTGTTTTTTTAAATGTTCTATGCTTTCCTAAACCCTATCTAGAAAAAGGAATGTGATTGCGTGGTTTTCTGCAATCTGTAGCCTTTAGGAGCAGAAGCAATATATTTAAACAAAGGAAATAATCTCTCTGATTCATCAAGCAGTTGGTTTTGCAGTGTTTTTCTCCTACATATATACATTTTGTTCACATGGCAATAAAACTTCTAATAATTATATTTTGTTATATGTAATAAATCTTTCTTGGCTAGGCCTGTCATTAACTCTTTACATTAAATATTGTATATATCAGGTACTTGAGAGAACACATGTAATATATGAACATAAACAATAGCAAATAAAGTAGAAATTTCCAGTAGGTTAATTACAAGCACCAGGCAAACTGAGAGACAACTGATAAAGCAGAAGAAACGTTAGCGTATGTTTTCACTTCCCTCAATCAGAAGCAGGAGTCTTTCTAGGCAGAGGCCAAGTTGCTTGAGACAGCAGGTTGCTGGGATCTACAAAATGGCTGTGGTCCAGTGCTCCCTCTGCCTATGCCAGACTGCTGGAAAGCTGGCCTCACTGCTACTGCTGGTTTTGCCAACTCCCGGGCAGCAGCGTGTGAGGTGTTAACTACTCCTGCTGGGATGGTCAGTGCCTCAAAAACTAGCCATTACCAACCCTAATATTCCCAGCTTCCCAGCAGGTCCAGGAGCAACAAGCTTTCAAAATATCTGGCACTCTCCATGTCTTTCCTTTTGCCCTATTTCTGCTCCTGCTCCTTCTCCTTCCCATATATGTTAAAACCAAGAGCCTAGTCTACAGCCCTTGTGAAATACACAAGTGAGTTTTTTTACTATTTATTTCATCATTATCATATTTAAATCTGCAAAAACACTGGAAGGATACATTACGTGATACCATTTTGATATGTCAACCACAAAAAAGTTGTGTTGATCTTGTGCAAATCTGGTCTGTAGCACCTGACACTCTTCTTTCAAAAAACACAACAGCGCCATGAAAAAACATATCTTTGTCTTGGCTGCTCCACTGACTTTCCCACCAGTAACTGCTCTGCAGCAGCAACAGACAATTATGTGCACTTACATATTATTAACTGGTAATGATTCTGATGTAGAGAAAGGGTTAACACAAATAACATAAATAGGTAACCATGAATAGGGGAGTAACTTTTACATGACAGTCCTGTGAATATAAATAATGGGTGAGAAGAAACATTATATATATTTCTGAGTATAAATGAATTAACTTGGGAGAAAGTACTTCAAACCAGATTTAAATGGCAGCAAGTGGGGTTGCAAGCATGCAGATATACTGCATCAGTGTTTGCAAAAAGAATGTGATGGTGCACCATGGATGGACAATTCAGGAAATTAACTGGAAGATGACGTGTTATGAGAGAAGACTACAGAAGCATGACTCCTAGGTATAATAGCCTTTATTTCAGGACGGTATTTAACTCTGCACACTTAAGAAAAATAAAAATCAGAGCTTGCAACAAAGACAAACCAAGATGCTTGGTGTTAGAACAAAAAATGTCTTTATATATAACAAACCAGGACCGTAAATCTTACCACTGGATATTAATAATTAAATACCTGTTATTTAAGTACTTGCTATTTATGTAATTGTTACATACTTGATGTTAACCACCTACTCTGAACCTCTGGAGTCAGAGGTAGCAGGTGCTATGAAATACCAGAAAACAGAGCCAAACAGAAAACAGAACAAAAAAACAAACAAAAAAATGTAAGGACTTTTCAGTAATGTGTACTTTACATTACTATGTAAATAAGGTGACCATTTGGAATCTAACAAATTAACATCAGGGAATTTTAGTCTCCCCCCTTGTGAGTTACCAGGGCATTTCCACTGTTACTGTGATTACATGTTGTAAGAAAAAATACATTTTCATTTCCAAAACATGCAGGATGCCATCACTTATGTAAATCAAAAGCCAGTGGCTGTTCTGTGGTCCCTCATACACGTGTAATAGGTGGGTGTGATACCGGCAGGCTGGCAAGTGCTGTTTTCTGGTTCACAACTCCATCTGACTGCTTTCCCAGACCTGTGGATTTTACTTTTCTTTCTGGATGAGTTTAGTTGTTTAGGACTTGCAGTTGTGTTCAGATGTCACTTATTTTCTCTTAATTTTCACTCCCTGGAAGTGTTCAAGGCCAGGTCGGACAGGGCTTTGATCAACCTGTTCTAGTGGAAGGGGACATGACGGGGGGGTCGCTTCCAACCCAAACATCCTATGATTCCATGACTAGGCGTTGTGGGACGGAGTAGATCTACGGACACCATTTCCAGTCCCTCTCTGTCCTGACACAAGAGGGAGCTAGCGACACCGCCTTTCCTGCACCTTGGCATGGCCGACAAAACCCTTCGCGACCCGAAAGGCAGCCTTCAAGTGTGCACTCGCTCCCTAACACAGCAGGTAGCGGCAAGAAGCCACGGCCACACCAAGGGGCGCCCAAGGCAGCCTCTCGGCTACACCCGCCCCCCCCCCCATCCACCTGCTTGACGGCGCGACCGTTAAACGGCCTCAGGCGCCTCACCCCTCCTGGGTCCCCGCTGTGGTAGCTGCCGCCAAGCTTGAGCCGCGCCCCCGGGGTACTGGGGCAGAGGCGCTGCTTGCGGCTGGGGAGGAGGCCAGAGGTGGGCTAAGGATCGGACAGAGGACAGCTGGGGAGGAGGCCAGAGGTGGGCTAGGGGTCGGCCTGAGGTGGGCTGGGGCAGTCTTCGGGGGCGTGAGGGGCTGACAGGCGGTGAGGTGACCTGCCAGGGGACGCCGCCTCTTGCCCGTAAGCACCGCTGCGTGGGATGGTGGCGGCTTCTGTCCGGCTGGTGGGGAACGGTGGTGGTTGCGGTGAGGGCTCTGGGTAGAACAGCGCTGCGCCTCTTCGGGCGAGGGGATTGTCAGGTTTTGGTTACTCGTGGGCCTGCGGGGCGCTGAGGGGCTTTTCGCAAGAATTGTGTTAATTCTCATTCATGTGTTCAGAAAGGAGTGTTCCAAAGAACATTTCTGGTGGCCCTCATCATCTGTCTACTGTGAATGTCCAGTTTGTTCAGATGCTCAAAACTAAAAGGTCATGCAGAAACCCTGCTAGGCCCGTTTGCTAATGCATGGAGCTTCCTCTCAGTAGGCAGGTCACCAGTTGGAGCAACTCCTGAGCAGCAGTATGGCCTTTGTAAGGGGGAGATCTTGGGGTGCAGAAGGCACCTCTGAAGTAGTAGTCTCTTATGGAAACAGTTTATTTCTCAGCTATTAAAACTAACTCTTCTCCACTTTTCTTGATACTAGATAGAACACTATTAATACAAGAAGGTTGGGCTGGGTGATATGAGATCTTTTCTAGGCTCTTGTGCTTCAAGAAGGAAATAGAGCTGTTTTTTTATTTCCCCTCTGCCCAGAATTCACTCTCTCTCATACTCTGTTTTCTTTTCCTTGTTTTTGGAGTATGGGGTTTCTTAGAAATCCTCCTCATAGAAATTTGGGGTTGGGGTAAAGGGGCAAAATGCACCATTTTGCTGTCACCATAAGTGATCTTGTTTTTATAGTAAGGAGAACACTAAAAATAGAGGTGTGCTATCTTGTCGAAGCTAGCCTCTTAAACAGTTTCTCCTGTTTTTAAAAAGGGTACATATAAGTTGCAGTCAGGGCATGGAGAAAAATTTGATGTTTTTAATCTTCCAATGCATTGCTCTATATGGAAATTTAGTATCTTGAATAATATGATTTGAACAAGTATTCCTGATCTGGATAAAATGAAATCTTTCATGTCAGTAGTTTCAGTTCATTTACCTGCAGGAATTTTGATTGTTGCTTTTGACTACAGCTTTCAGTTTTTCATTTTTAAGGTGAGAAGGTAGCACACCTGGGGAATCAAACCAGAATTTTTTTTCCTGACTTTTGCTCAACTGATGTAATTCAGACAGTAAAGATTTAACAGTTGGTTTCTAGACCTGAATAGGTTCAAACTGGCTATGTTGAAAAGTTGTTACTTGAATATTATAAAAGTTAGGTGTTCAAAAGATTTTAATTTAGTAAATCATCAAGTGATTCCCCCCCCCCCCCCTGCAAAGACCGGTTAATGTAGGGAGTGATGATGGATCATGTTTTAAATAGCCTAACTTTTCTCCTGTTCCATACTGGAACTGGCTAATAATCTCTACAGTTTTAAATCTTGAAGTCATGTTTGTTTACTTTGGATTTTTTTTTTTTATAACAATTATTCCCTTGTCCTGTAAAGTCTCTTAGAGAAAACACAATTTCAGTACTGTTCATTATTATGTTAGTTGTTTCTGCTGTTCTTTTTCTCTAGAAGAAGTTGAAGTTCCTTCAAATGGTGAAATCTCCCAGTTGACAAAGGAGATTGGAGGGGAGTAGGATTAAAATTAAGGTATAGATATTACAAGTTAAGATTTTATGACCAGTGGTTTACATATAGTGGGAGATCTGTCAGCCCAGCACCACTTTAGCAGTTTTTGGTGCTTCTATAAGCAGCTAAAATGAGTGGGAAGTTGCAAAACTGTATTAATTTTACTAAAGTAGATATTAAAAGCCAGTTATGCAAGTTTTATGTAGATATATATGGAACTCCTACAGCCAGTAGACTATACAAGGTACACTAGTGTTAGTTAACCCAGTTAATTAAATTGTTAGAAAACACTTTCATTTCCATCATGTGTCCCCATCTCCTTTCTCCAAGTGTACAGACAAGCATATAGAAAAAAATCTTTTAAAAAAGAAACTAGGGTAGCTCAGTTGGAAGGAAAAATGAAAGGTATGTCTGATTCTGTCCTTTTGCAAATTCTATCCAGTATATTCTGTCATGTAATAAAATTTCTTCTTTTTCCTGTCCAGATACTAAAATATAGTATATTCTCTTGTCAAATGCAATTAATGAGTAGTAGATAGACTGCTGTTCTTTCTTAGCATCCCCATGTGGAACTGAATGCTCTGTATTGACTTCTGGTGGTTTTTTACAAGTGTCATGGTACAAAATGTTAAGGGAAACTAAAAAGTTTATTGGTAAATCCTTTCAGGCAGCACGACCTCTGCATCATCTGTCTTCTAAACAAGGTGAGTAGCATGGATACCATACGGTTCACTTTGGCAAAGCTGCAGTTGCTTTTGAGGAGACAAAAGGACATGTAAGGTGACTTTTTTTTTTTTTAATGACTTTGTTCAAACTGCAGTCATGCGTAAATGTCTTGCTGTGTGTGAAGTTTACTGCATCATCTCTGTGATAAAGTCTGAATTAAAACTAGATTAGGTTTATTCAGAACTCTGGTGGTGTTCTAGCTAGGCATCTGCAATTCCAGCTTCAGAAAGTTGGATCAGGCTTCTCTATTAAATCTGGATTTCTTGGGTTAGTTGACTCCTCCTTTGAAAACATAAAACACTTATAATGTAACAGATTATTGTTCAGGTTTTATTGCAGGCATGCTATACTGCACTGTACTGTTCTTGTCTAGCCTTCATACAAGTTTAAAACAAAAGCCTTAGAAAAAAATCATGCAGTATTTATGTCAAGTGTGGGTTTGTTTTTAAACCTGTGTATGCTATCTAGATATTGAAGTATTACAGCTACTATTATTGTTAAATTAGAAATACTTTGGTGGCCAGAGAAAGTAACAGCAGTGCTGATGTGAACATGATAAATTTTTACTTTCTTTAAACTTCATGGAAGAAATGGAAAATGGTCCTATGGTGATTTAAAATTTCAGGTTTTGACTACATGCCCATATAATCTCTTTGCAGTTGGATTTCAGCAATGTTCTTGTGGCAGTTATCACAAAATAAAGATGTGGAGTATATTTAAATGTTTGTTTGTTTTTTTTTTAATGTTTTCTGTGTCTTCTCCAGAATCAGCCATTGTGTTAAACTTTCAGACTAAATTACCTGGAAACACTGAAGTATGTTTGCAGAGTAAGGTTGACTGGGTGAGTACTGAGTAAACAGTAGATTACAAAGTTGATGGAATGTGTTCTAAACTGTTATGAATTGGAGGTCAGCTGTTCCCTTATGTTATCAAATGTAAACTCTTTTGAGCTAGGAGTGTCCTTGGTGTTATAAACTAGCAGAGTCAGAAGCTTTAAAAAGAAGTATGAGTTTCATGAATGCCCTTCCCTGATACTTGTATACACTAGTATCTGAAAAATGCATTCTATGAATTGCTTATTCAGATAGAGTCTTGCAGAAATCTTTGTGGCATTTCTTTAGTCTTCATTGAATTTAAGACAGCTGTTTAAAACTTAAAAGTACTCATATACAGTCTTTGTTTATTGTGTGTAAAGAATAACATTAGAATTTTAATTTATTTTTTTTAATCTTGCTGAATATTATGTTTCAAAAAGCATCGGTGATGATCTGAAAAAGCTGTACGTTGTTACTCATTTACTCTTTGGCTCCTGATATGGTGAAATGTCCCCATTCCTAGAATAATATATGTATAAAAATGTATATATTTCACTTCAAGAACTTGTTCTTCAAAATTGTAATTGTATTTCACATACTTTAAATCTTACTGCCTTTTTGGCAAGACAGTAATAGTGCTCTGTATCTTACAAGCGTAACACTTTAATTATCCTCATCCCCTTTCGTTCCTCCTCCTCCAATATAGTACCTTTTACAAAACATAAGCACAACACTAAACACACTGTAAAGTGAAAAACAAGTTTTGCTATAACACTTAGTAGGGCTAAAGGAAAACCAAGTTGTTACAACTTTTTATACCAGTCATAGTCTTATGTAGTGATGATCTATTAAAGAGGGAATAAAGTGAAGTTAATATAGTTTAATACAGGAAATACAGGTTACTTTCTGGAAAGTATGGTGAATGCTGAAGATTTTAAAAAGTAAAGCAGATTATAATTGCCATGAACTTACAGATGTTTAAAGGAGGCTTTAGAAACAAAAGAAATGCCAACTCTTCACAAACCAGGTTCTTAAAGCAGTGAAAGAACTGAAGAATCTGGCAACTGAATTCTCCAAACTGCTTTACTCTGGTATATTTAGTATGCACACTTAAAGCTGCTTAGACTTCTGCCAGAAAGAAAAGGATCATCATTATGGAACATCAGGAGTGCTGTTCAGTGTTAGATTTAACTCAGTACAAAGAACAGTGAATTAAAACTACTGAGTCTGAAACTTTTAGTCTTGAGCCTTAGAGGAAGTGGAGAAGAGCTACTGTTAATAATGAGCACGGTGACAGTGCTTGTATATAAGATGTTAACTTTGATTCTAGGGAATTTCTGCCAAACTGGTGTTCAGAGTGAAAGTGAAGCCTGAATTCTTGCTGTGCCCTAACTGAATAATTTAAAGCAAAGAATATATTTTATTACTTCATGGTGTGCAAGGAATTTTCAGATCTGGAGAGTGTTAAGTCCACTACCTCAGATCTATTTGAGGTAGAGATGCTTGAAAAGTCTCCCATCAGTCAGTATCAGCTTTAAATTGCTACTTCTTAATCTACCATTTAAAAATGATGTTGAGCTTCAGATATATGTGCCCTGCTCTTGGGTTATTCTTTATAAATGGATTCCATTCTTTGTAGATATATTTCAGGTAGGAATGTGTGTTAAGAGTCCTGTTATGAGTGGTGATGCTTGCTCAAATGTTAAGCATTGGACCTAAAACTGAACATAATGGAACTCTTGATATTATAAAGCAGTTGGCAGGATGATAAGGTGCAGGAAGAAATGTAAAAATGCTGTGTTGACACTGGCACATTGCTGTACATTCTGCTTTATCATGTATATGTTTTTTTGTGGATTTAAGAGTATGTTAAATCCTTGTTTGCACTTGGAAGGAACCTTTAAATAGCTAAGACTTGTGAAGACTAGTTGAGCATCACAAAGCAGTTAGAATTAGCAGTATGGTTCTCTGTTAACTTCATTCTCCAAAATCCCTAGATTTTTTCAGATTTTTTTTCCCCCCAGCTTTAGACAAGTCAGGAAAAGATAACAATTTAAACCACAAAAAATGGAAGTGCGAGCAGGGTGTATAATACACTAGAAATATTTTGCCATTTCACGATTTCTACTCTTAGCACACCATGATAGCTGGTGATACAGTTACGGTGTTAACTGCTGTCTCTGTCCAGATAATAGGACCTCTTCTGCTTTTGCAGCTGCTTCCCAAAATTTTCAGTTCTTTCTGCTCTCCCCCACCATTTCCCCCTGTCTCTTCCCAGGTGAAGCACTGGAATGGGTTGCCCAATGAAGTTGTGAACACTCCATCCCTGGCAGTGTTCAAGGCCAGGCTGGATGTAGTCTTGGGTGGCATGGTTTAGTGCGAGGTGTCCCTGCCCATGGCATGGGGTTGGAACTAGATGATCTTAAGGTCCTTTCCAACCCTAAGGATTCTATGATTCTGTGATTCTAAATCTGTCTCAGAATGAGATTACAATTCCTCAGCCAAACCTGTGGAGACATTTTGAGAGTTGAGTCAAAACTGTTGAGAGTAAACAGCTTTCCTACTTTCCAAAACAGTTCAAGGTTTTGGCAGCTGGAAGGAACTCAGGTGTTATACTGTGGTTGTTAGGTCTTCATGCTTATGAAACCTTTTTCTCCATGAGAGAATCCTAATCTCTCTCTCGGTTTTATGGAAAGTCCTTCCTCTTTTTATTATTCCCAAGTGTAGCAGCTTCTGGCTGTGTTCTGGGTGAGTTCAGAGAAAAGGAGATAATTGTGTTATTTTTAAAAACTAACAATAGCACTGTGAGATTCTGTCTAAAAGATTGCTGTCTCAAATGTGGTTACCTATACTGTTTTGTAGGTAGTTGAACTATTCCTTTACTGTATGTAATCAAGAGTAAAAACCATTCTACAGGCACAAATTAAACTGTACTGCAATTATTATTTTTTACTAAGAAACCCAGAAACATATATCTGTGTTTTAGTGTGCTTAACATAAACAAACTTTGTAACTTTATGCTGTGAAATATACCAAAAAATGTTTAATTCTTTCTTCCTTATTTTAGTTATCTGAAATGACTGAAGTGAAGATTTTAACTCAAACTATGATGCCCTGTCAACCAAACCAGCATGAATCAGAAGCAAAAAAAGGTAAAATACTGCATAAAGATCTGTGTCAGAGTTATATTTTCTGGATAGAAGACAACTGAACTTCAAAGCAATGTGGGATAGGATGAGTATTACTTTTTCTGATTAACTGGTGCTTAGAGAGTTTGGCTTTGTATCACAGTTTGAGAGCTACATGAAACATTTCTGTTTTTCATATAACACTCTAGAGAAAGTGTACAAATTACCCACAGGTGAGGTGAGAAACCTCCACTAGTAGATTTGCTCACTTATAAGGGTGTGCCTGTCTTTTTTCCTTCATTTTGTTTTATTGTTTTGGGGTTTCTTTGGGGGGACCACAAAAAAAAACAAAAAAAAAAAGCATAAAAAAATCTTCACACAAAATCTTGTTTTTGTGTAAAGTGCTTCTGTATAGAGCAGTACAGATTTGAGTTGCATCTATTAGCCTGTTGCAGGGCTCAGTCATGGCATGCAGATTATTGCATGGAACCAATTAAAGAATTTAGCAGTTTGGCTTCATTTTCCTACTCTTACTACAGTGCTTCTGAAATATTAATTTTCTGATGGTTAGAAATTTCTTTTATGATTAGTTCTAGACAGTTCGTTCTTCTACCAACACTGTCCTTCAATGGTGGTTCTTATGCTTTTCTTTTTGTACTGCCTATCACTCAGTACTCAGAAAACATAACAGTGTTCTTGTCATTGTTTGGTAGTTTAAACAAGCCAACCTTTTACTCTTTTTTCATTAAGGAATAATCCCAGATCCCAAATGTATCCTCACAGACCTCCTCTGCACTGCTTCCTGCCTAATTCTTCATTCTTAAATATGTCACAGGAACTGTGACAGTGTCATTGAGACAGTTTCTTCTGTTCATACCTTCCATATCAGGCATCTCAAGTCTCCATCTGCAATCTCCAATCCTTAAGTAATCTCTGGAGACTTGGTTTGGTCTTAGTACTCAAGAACTGAACTAATTCTGTTCAGTTTTTTTGAGTCTTTCCTATTTTTCCTCAGTCTGAGGTTGCCATCACCCAGGTTCTTGAGCAGTAATTTTACACTGTTGTGATCAATTTGAAAGTTAAGTCTTTCATGTAACCCCTTTCAGGCTCAGGTTTGTTTCTTCTATTCTTGATCTTAGTAAATAGAATACTGTTCCTCAGACCTAGTTTGGTGTCAGGCTTGTCAAGTTCTATCTGTTTCTGATCTTTTACTGATTCTCCTTGTGGTGTGTTGAGACTGTTGTGTTTTACAAGATCTTAAATGACTTCTCATCAGATCCTAGTCTCATGTAAGTCATCACATTGGGTCTTTTTTAGTGGTTAAGTGCTCTGCAATGCCTTGTTGAGACTACTCCCCATTTGTCCATAATGTTAAACTTTTTTCAACACTTGTTTACAAAGGCTTTTTGTTTGTTTGTAGATTGTCGTTATTCTTTCCTTAAGGAAAGTTGTAGCACAACTTCAAAGGTCCTGTTGTTCAGCTGCTGTCTACAGATACTTCCATTGCACTGTAAGATTTCCACTGGAACTCCATTTTTATCTCCAGTTGTACCTTAAATTCTAGATAAGAATTTCCATTTCATATCTGTTCAGTTATCTGTCTCTGCAGTTCTTAAGTGCTTGTTGCTGCTATCTCAATCACTTCCTTGCTTTCTTTCAGAATCATACAGTACTTTTGAGTTGGAAGGGACCTTTACAGGTCATCAAGGCTAACCTCATTGCAATGAGCAGGGACATCTTCAACTAGACCAGGTTGCTCAGGGCCCTGTCCAACCTGACCCTGAATGTTCCTGCTCCAGTGCTGATGGCTGCAGAGCTGGACACAGTACCTCCAGATGGGGTCTCATGAAGAGGGGCAGAATCACCTCCTTTGACCTGCTGGTCATGCTTCTTTTCTTTTTAATGCAGCCCAGAATATGTTTGGCTTTCTGGGCCATGGGTGCACATTGCTGTCTCATGTCCATTTTTTTATCCACCAGTAACCCCAAGTCCTTGGCAGGGTTGTTCTCAGTCCCTTCATTCCCCAGCCTGTATTGATACCAGGGTTTTGTCCCACCCCATATGCAGGACCTTGCACTTGGCCATGTTAAACCTTACAAGGTTCACATGGACCTAATTCTCAAGCTTGTCCAGGTCCCTCAGGCATGTCAGCTGCACCACTTGAGCTTAGTGTTCTCTCTTGAGGATGCACTCTATCCTACTGTCTGTGTCATTGTTGAATATATTAAACAGTACTGGTCCCGGTACAGGCCCCTGAGGGACACCACTCATCACTGGTATGCATCTGGACATAGAGCCATTGACCACTGCCCTCTGGATGTGACCATCTGACCAATTCCTCATGCACCAAACAATGCATCAAATCAATACCTTTCAGTTTAGAGAGAAGGGTTTTGTGGGGGACTATATTGAAGGCCTCATAGAAGTCATCTTCATCATATGTTTTTAAACAAGGGAGAAACAAAAGAAAGCCCTAAGTTTTCAAATAAGTCAGTTTGATAAAGTGAAATTCTCTGTAATTTTCTACAAATTATCCGAAGACAAGGTCAGGCTTAAATTACTGTTGGGTTTACTACTGATTTTTGTGTTTTATGTGCAGCATTTCCACCTTTGTAGAAGAAATAAATCAGTTTTCTGAATTCCGAACCTTAATGCCTTGAACAACATCGAACGTTGTAATTTTGTGTATTGACAGGAAGGATCAAATACAGCAGGGATTTCCTTCTGAAACTTTCAAGTGTTTCTCTCTCTCAGAAGAAGCCAGAGTTTCTTCCTGATCATCCAATTGTACTTGAAAAGCCAGTAAGTGCATTTTTTTATTAACTGAAGTGTAAAACAGTCATGGAGGTTTTGACAACCCATTTGATAGGAAACATTTTTCTTCTGACTTGCCTGCCAAATTGATAAAACTGTCAAAAGACAGATTGTACAGTTCAGCTCTGTTACTTTTGTACATGATTTCCCCAATCAGTATTTGGCATCTTGCCATGGCAAGTGCCATACAAAGGAAAAGTGGTGTTTAATTGTTTTCCAGAAATTCCAAATTTAAAATCAATGTGGAATCATATAAAAGCTTTCTACCATGAAATCACAGTACATAGCTTTAGTAGTCTGTGTGAATTCTGTGTCTGTCTTCTGAAAATAAAAGAGAGCAATCTTGATAAATTTCTGGCTTTGTGAAAGTCTGGTTTCAGTGTTTAAGTTGCCCATGCATCAGTGTCCACTGATGAGCTTAACGCAGTTTGTGTTAACATTCCTGATCTGTGTTGTTGGGAAGAAATGAGTAAAAATGAATGATGAATGTGAAGGATATCCAGGAGTGCCACCTTAACCTGTAAGAAGAAGTAATCCTCAAAGACTTTGTATGCTTAGAGAAAAAAATTTAATGCCTCGCATTCCACATATCAGGTTTGGGAAAACATTCTTGGGTATAAGCTTTATATCAAATCAGGCTAAATACTAGGCTGCTTTTGAGGCCATAAGGGTGTATTTCTTCTAGAAGTAAGATTCCTATCCTGGAGAAGTATGTCCGGATCACTGCTGTGTTGGCCACAATTTGAGAGTTGTAAACTTCTGATCCTTAGGGAAAAAAAAAGTTAAACTAATAAAAGACAGAAATTGGCCTTCCTTGATCTTACTTTTTACATGTTCTCAAGATGAAAGCTTTACTTGTTTGCAAGCCTGCCTGCAGATAGGGAAGTTACAACTCGTGAATTTCCCAACTTCTTTTCCCCTCTTCCTGTCACTTGAGTTTCCAAGGGGGAAAATTTCAATAATACATACATTTTCACATGGTTATGTTCGTAAGTAAAGGAGAATCCCTGCAGAATATAATCAGTGGATAAATGAACTCTAAAATTGCTCATGACATGGCAAAATTGCAAATAATTTCGATAGAGGGAAAGAAAGATAGTAAAAACTGGTGCAAGCCAAGATGGGTTGCATGTGTTTTAAGAGATTGTTTTCAGGCTGGGGGATCCATGTGTGTAGGACTCAGTTATATATAGTTGTGTTGTTAGAAATAAAGAGTAACTGACTGTGAGGCCTGCTCTTAAAAGTTTTTCCTCTGCATATGCTAGTTTATCATACATATGAAAAAAATGGAGTTTTCTGATTCTATTCAGCTGCAAAAGGGGATGGGTAAATTAGAAACCTTTATTAGTCAGGATATTGAATTAAAGTAACATAAAGTGTATCACTTAGCTATTATTACTGGTGTCTTAAGCACAAAGTATGGATGGTTAAGTAGGAACCTAAAGGAAAAAAATCCTGTTTTTAAAAGACAGCAAAAGGTGGAGAATTTGCTGTGTGATCCTGGAGAGTGTTGAAAAAGGTATTGCGAGTATACTGCTCTCTTTAGTATATAAGGGTAGTAGTATCAGCTTGCCAGTCATACTTCAGAAGAAACTTGGTTAGTGATAGTCTGCATTTCTGAATTGACTAAAATGAATGTTTTGTTGTTAATATAAGGTAAACCAGCCACTCTTGTATTCCAGTGTTGAATTTTGTGTAGATACTGGATTTTTAGTAATTTGGGAGTTTGGCAGCATATTAGCATGAATTAAACATTTAAGCTATTTGGATGTGAACTGTCTTAAGATACATTTTGTATGGCTGCATGGATATACCTGCTTGCTTTTCGCTAAGCAGTTTCCTTATTGGCAAGGAAGAGGAAAAAATTACCATTGTTTCCAAGAGTGTTGCAAGATCTCAGTTAAAGTATAAGAACCTTGCTGGAAATCTCAGTGTCAGTGAGCTTGAATTTAGGAGCCGGTGGTTGTCAGCAGTTTGCCACTGCATTGACTATTCAGCTAGTTGTTGCCCATCTCAGGACTTTTCCCTAGTTCTGATTTTTTGAAGTTGCTGCTGAAGTATATGCCCATCGTTGAGTGAAAGCTGTATTTTCAGATGGAGAAGGCTTCCTAGAGGGACTTGTACAAGGCAGATGCTGTGGGCTCCTCCATTAGGAGGCTGTGGGTTGCATTTGTAGTGAAGGACAGTGGTTTTTTTTGAGACATGGGGTGAGGTCTGCCTATACATAGCTCAGCATTTGAACTGAAGTCTCTGTGTTGACAGCGTCTCCCAGAAAGATTTCAGGTGAAGTCTGTATGATTAATGAAAGTAGAGCTGTTTGCACCAATCCGAAAACCCAAACATAACAGAAGAACAAAACCAAAACCAAAAAAAATTGTTAAATGTATGTGGAGTAGAAATGGGTTATAAGCAGACCCCTAATTTAAATGACCTCTTAGAATGGAAGTAATTTGATGGTTTATTTGTCTTACAGGAAAAGAGCAGGCCTTTTATTGACATGTGCAAGAAATGACAGGTTGTTTGGACAATGAGAAATCCATCAATGAAGGAGCTACATGTGATGTAGATCTTAAAGAGTTTTGAAAGTACTTGGATGTCTGCAGGTGAAAGTAGAACCCAGTGAAATTTACGAAAAAGCCTGTTTCTTCCGGTAATTGCCTGACTGTGTTAAAAGCCAAACCTTTAATTTGTAAAGCCTAAGATGGTAATAACAATTACAGTGAAAATAAAAAATTCTACATTTTGCTGTGGCAGGTTTTTTTCCTTGCATTGTCTGTCTTATGTAGCCATGTAGAGTGTCTGACCATAAATTCTAAACCAATGCTTGACTGGGGCTTTTTGCATGCTCCCACCACCCTTCGTTAGCACTAATAATGGAATGACACATACTGCCTGTGTCAAATTTCATGTGTCTTAGGGTATGTGCCCCTCTAGCTTATTTTTTCCCCCTGAAACTTCACTGGCTTGCTTTCTTAATTTGAAATCTCCAACTTGACACAAGTTAGTACATTCTTAGTATATTATGCATACATACCTTCTTTCAAATTACAAAGTGTCTTGCTACTAAGTTTCACTAAAACATGAAATCTGTCTCATCATGGATCATAAAATCATAGAATAGTTTGGATTGGAAAGGACCTTAAGATCATCAAGTTCCAACCCCCCTGCTATGGGCAGGGACACCTCCCACTAAACCATGTCACCCAAGGCTCTGTTCATCCTGGCCTTGAAAACCCCCAGGGATGGACCATTCACAACTTCCTTGGGATGGACCATTCCAGTGCCTCACCACCCTAACAGGAAAGAATTTCTTCCTTATATCCAATCTAAACTTCCCCTGTTTAAGTTTGAGCCTGTTACCTCTTGTCCTGTCACTACAGTCCCTAATGAAGAGTCCCTCCCCAGCATCCTTATAGGCCTCCTTCAGATACTGGAAGGCTGCTATGAGGTCTCCACATGGCCTTCTCCAGGCTGAGCCCGAACTTTCTCAGCCTGTCTTCATACAGGAGGTGCTCCAGTCCCCTGATCATCCTTGTGGCCCTCCTCTGGACTTTTTCCAACAGTTCCATGTCCTGTTTATGTTGAGGACACCAGAACTGCACAGAGCACTCCAGGTGAGGTCTCACGAGAGCAGAGTAGAGGGGCAGGATCACCTCCTTCAACCTGCAGGGCACACTCCTTTGGAAGTTGGCTTTCTGGGCTGCGAGCACACACTGAAGCCAGCTCATGTTCATTTTCTCATTGACCAACACCCCCAAGTCCTTCTCCACAGGGCTGTTCTGAATCTCTTCTCTGCCCAACCTGTAGCTGTGCCTGGGATTGCTCCAACCCAGGTGTAGGACCTTGCACTTGGCATGGTTCAACTTCATAAGGTTGGTGTCAGCCCACCTCACAAGCGTGTCGAGGTCCCTCTGGATGGCATTCCTTCCCTCCAGCATATCAACCAAACCAGACAGCTTAGTGCCATAGGCAAACTCACTGAGGGTGCGCTCAATCCCACTGTCCATGTCACCAAATCCCAGTGTTCATGTCACTGAGACATCAGATCAGAGCAAGAGAACTGCCTATGTTTTGCATTCCTTGAAGTTCTTTGAAAATAATTGACCAGTGGTTTTGACTTTGAAAAGTGGAAGTAATGGACAAAACTGAGGAACAATACAGATTTTAATCATGTTTTATATGGGTAAATAGGTATACCAAAGCATAGTTTGTTTTGGTACTTTCTTCCTTAAATTAGTTGAGTATTTCACAGTGAAGTTGAAAGCTGTAGTTTATGTTCTGAAAGCATCCTTCAGTTGACAAGTGTCAATAATAGATATTTGTATGAATACAGTTGCCCTCGAGACCCTTACTCAGACCCACAACAACATCATCTGGGCACTGAAGGCAATTTTCTAGCATTTGTCACAAATGATAATGGAAGCTAAATGAGAATGTATTGGCTGGTAATCGTAAAAGTGCAGAAAACTTTCAAGTTGCATTTGACAGACACTAGATTTCTTTCCCTGAACTACTCAAACTTGTTTCAGTTCAGAGTTTTTTTTGATGTTTAGTAGCACATAGTTAAAATAAAGTCGCAAGTATATTCTATTATTTGTATGTTGTTTACAAGTAATGTCACAAAGAACTGAAATCATTGGCTGGTTGATTGGTTGGTTTTTAATCCCCGGGAGATTTGTGAGTCCTATGGATCTTTTCTTGCAGTATGTGTTGAAGGCAATTTCTTTGTGTAGCTCTTAAAACTCTTAAGTGAAATGTCTCAAATGTATTCTGGTGTATGGTTCATCAAAGTGTTTACTGTCATGGTTTAAGCCCTGCCAGCAACTAAGTACCACAAAGCCACTTGCTCACCCCCCTGCTTCTCTCTCCCCAGGCAGGATGGGGAGAAGAACTAGAAGAATGTAAAACCTGTGGGTTGAGATAGGAACAGTTTAATAACTAAAGTAAAATGCAGTGATAATAGGAATAATAATGGTAACAATATTAACAATAGTAATAAATAGGAAGCAACAAAAAGACGAGCAATGAAAATTCAAAAAACACAATAACTTGCTTACCACCACTGATTGATGCCCATCACAGAGAAATAACTCTATCTCAGCTGAAACCAGGATATTTACTAGTAAATATACAAAGCAGAATAACTATTAGAAGGACATACGGCCTACTAGGACTTTCCTTCCCCCAACACCTAACTGATACGGAATTCTAAAGCAGGTTCTTTAAGAATAATTTTAATACAGCTTTTCCAGTGGAAAGGAAAAATGCCATAAACCTCAGTGTACTCAGTGTAGTGTGTCTGTTTTCACTTACAGATTTACCCTACAGCAGAGTCACATATCACTCTATTTCCTTTGTCTATAGATCACTAATGACAAAAGAAAACATGCCATACAGTAGAGTGGCATCTTTGATAGTAAAAAAGCCAGCCAGATTTTGAGGAGTATGAGTAGTTTTACTTTGCTAAAGACAAGAAACCTTTAAATTTTCCCTGGTATGTCATTTTGTGAGTATAATATGGCTATTTGGGTGCCTTTTTTAAAATTAACAGATCTGTAGTTGGATCACCTCAATCTGGAAAAGCTTTGGACTTCAATATTAAAAGCATTCACTTTTGCTGAGTTACTGCAAGAAGATTTACAGATGAAATTTGTCTTTAACATGGGCACCTGTCATTTTCTGACACCCAGATTTGTGCAGAGAATCTAAGGTCCCTTATATTTTCTGAGTGGTAAGGATATAGGGTTCAAAGCAAATTGGTAGTGAGATGTTAAGTCTGTGGATCTGTAATGGCTTGACAGATATGTTTCCTCTTGTGGTGGGGGGGGCGGCTAGAGGCTGAAGAGAAAATGGTACTGCCTTGTCCTGTGCTAGGCAGAAAATGTCCTGTATGAGTGAAGTTGTGTTAACACAGAAAGTTGTCCCTATTGTTTACTCTCCTAATTAATGACATAACAACTTCTCTGAAGCATGACATGTATGAAAATGTGTGTTTGTGTTCATGCATGTTCATGTTCATACCTGTTTCTTCTGTAAAAGAAGACAGCAGCATTGACTGACAACTGTTCATTAACACAAGACTAAAACTTTTCACAAATATTTAGTCATATCAACCAAGATGAACTTTTCTGTGACAGTTTTCACTGAATATATACAGTAAACAGCATAGTTGTCTTATTTCAGCCTTTAGGATGCATCAATTAACTGAAGTAGTCACAAGAGGGTCATACATGTGCAGTTTTCCATATTTTAAAATGGAAAAGATCACATCCAAAATAAGAAACAGTATCACATCATAAATTCATAACCAGACACACCTGGACACTGCTATATGAATGTTACTGCAATGAAAGACAATGCAACTTTAACATTAGTTGGAACCATAGCTTCTAGTTGTTATTGAGGACCCACCACGATGCTGAAAGAGAGGGGAATTTATTTATTAAGTTGTTAACATAAACAGTATTTCTTTTTCCACCTCTTATAAATACCCTAAATAAAATAGCTATAACATGTATAAAGAAACAGCTAATACTACTTTATTTGAAAGCTGCATACCATCAAGGACAAAACCTCTCCAGGCAGGGTAAGAATACTTAAAATACTAAGAGAGTTGAGTCTTAATTGGTTGGGGTATGGCTTCAGCACAAGAATTTATATGTCCTTTTGATAACATCCAAAGAAGCATCAGTATGTCATAGGTGCAGCTGCATAGAATTAAGCACTCAGAACCCAGAGAGCAAACCACATAAATCCTCCCTCCTGTTCTGCTGTGTGCCTCAGTATTTAAGCCAAGCACTGTGTTCCCTGGGTGGCTGTGATGTCTTTAATGTCTTTCCTGGTGACATTATTCAGTGCTGGTGTTCTTTTCACACAGCTCTAGGGCTTAAGAGTGTTTTGTCCCAAAAGCAAGATAGACTTGTAAAATGTCATTCCCGTAAAAGAAGATCTGTAATCACCAGATTATAGACACAGCTGGAGTGAAATACATCTGTACTTCTCCAGAGTCCCTACCCTCTGGCCTTTGGAAATGGAATGTTCTGCAGAGGAACTGCAAGATTTATGGAGAGAGAGGATGGGAGGAAAGGAATTGTGACTCTATGTGAGATGCCCAGTTCCCTCAGTGGAAGGGTGTACTAGGCTCAGTAGGTTTTGCCCTACACAGTTTGGGGATTAAATTCATTAACACAGTTGTTTTTGTGAATTCCCATAAATTTGTCAATTTATGCCATTTTCATGAAAAATGTTATTCTTGAAGAATGGTGAGAAGATACTTAAGAATCTACCTGAGTTAGTGCTAAGAAAGCCTACTAGTCTCCGACACATCAGTGTATTAATGAATTTTGGATTAAAAAAAAGCCAGTTGAACAGTTTATTTCATGGATTATAGTGTCAGTAAGTGTTCAACAGTTTTCCCCTAGCTTTTCTTCACCAAAAGGTTCTCTAGTGTCCTAAAGCCCAAATCTTACATAAAAACTGTGCACTCACTGAATATGAACTGATTCATGCCACCCTGGTAGATTGGCCTGAAGCAACTTGGTTGGTTAAGACATGTGTGAGTGATTATAATAGGTTAAGGTTCCTGTTAACTGATGGTAAATTAATTTTCTTTAGCATGATACTGGATCTAACACTGTTGAAGACTCGTCTTCCTGACTTATTCCTAGCTGCATAAGTGCACATTTATTTATTTTAATTAATTGGTGGAGTAGAGACTTTTGAGTTGTAATCTTTGATTGAATCAGATTCAGATTA